CCCAGAATTCCAGGAATTCCCGGGTTTTTGGGAAGCTTTACCTGTTGTGCACCAGCTCGGCCATGAGCTTGAGCACGGGCGTGGTGCAGGCGGGGTCGTGGTACCAGAGCTCGATGGCTCTCTGCAGGATGGGCATGTACGAGGGGTAACTGCGGGAATTAAGGAATTCCCGATTTTCCGGGCACGGATCCCGCGGGAACGGGGTGGGAGGGGGGCACAAAGGGGGGATTTGGGGTTTTTGGGGTTTTTGGGGTGGTTATTGGGGGGGTTTGGTACCGGAAAATCATCGGGGTGGGAGAGCCCAGGAAATGGGATTGAGAGAGATCCTGGGATTCTGGGAGCGGGATTTGGGGTGGGATCGGGATTTGGGATCAGGATTTGGGATTTGGGATCAGGATGGGAATCAGGATTTGGGATCGGGATTTGGGATTTAGGATGGGATCAGGATTTGGGATCAGGATTGGGATCTCGATCAGGATTTGGGATTTGGAATGGGATCAGGATGCAAATCAGGATTTGGGATCAGGATCAGGATTTAGGATTTAGATCAGGATTTGGAATCTCATTCAGGATTTGGGATCAGGACTGGGATCAGGATTTGGGATGGGATCAGGACTGGGATCTCAATCAGGATTTGGGATCAGGATCAGGACTGGAATCAGGATCTGGATCAGGATCAGGATTTGGGATCAAGATTTGGGATCAGGACTGGGGACCAGGATTTGGGATTAAGATGAGGATAAGGATTTGGGATTTGGGATCAGGATTTGGGATTTAGGATGGGATCAGGACTGGGATCAGGATTGGGATTTGAATCAGGGTTTGGGATCAAGATTTGGGATCTCAATCGGTATTTGGGATCAGGATTTGGGATTTGTAATGGGATCAGGATGCGAATCAGGATTTGGGATCAGGATTTGGGTTGGGAACAGGACTGGAATCAGTATTTGGATCAGGATCAGGATCAGGATTTGGGATCACAATCAGGATCAGGGTTGGGATCAGGATCAGGATTTGGAATCAAGATGTGGGATGGGGATTTGGGATCAGGATGGGATCAGGATCAGGATTTGGGATCAGAATCGGAATCAGGATTTGGGATCTCGATCAGGATTTGGGATTTGGAATGGGATCAGGATGGGAATCAAGATTAGGGATCAGGATTTGGGTTGGGAACAGTACTGGAATCAGGACTGGAATCAGGATTTGGATCAGGATCTGGATGAGGATCAGGATCAGGATTTGGGATCAGAATCGGAACCAGGATTTGGGATCTCAATCAGGATTTGGGATTTGGAATGGGATCAGGATGAGAATCAGGATTGAGATCAGGATTTGGGATCACAATCAGGATCAGGATCAGGATTTGGGATGGGATCGGGATGGGAATCAGGATTTGGGATCGGGATTTGGGATATCAATCAGGGTTTGGGATCACGATCTCAATCAGGATTGGGATCTGGATTTGGATCAGGATCATGATTTGGGATCAGGATAGAGATCAGGATTTGAATCAGGGTTTGGGATCAGGATTTGGGATGGGATCAGGACTAGGATTGGGATCAGGACTGGGGACCAGGATTTGGGATCAAGATGAGGATAAGGACTTGGGATTTGGGATCAGGATTTGGGATTTAGGATGGGATCAGGACTGGGATCAGGATTGGGATCTCGATCAGGATTTGGGATCAGGATCAGGATTTGGGATGGGATCAGGATTTGTGATCAGAATGGAAATCAGGATTTGGGATCTCGATCAGCATTTGGGATTTAGAATGGGATCAGGATTGGAATCAGGATTGGGATCAGGATTCAGGGTGGGATCGGGATTTGGGATCAGAATCGGAATCGGGATTTGGGATATCGATCAGGATTGGGATCAGGATCAGGACTGGAATCAGGATCTGGATCAGGGTTGGGATCAGGATCAGGATTTGGAATCAGGATGTGGGATGGGGATTTGGGATCAGGATGGGATCAGGATCAGGACTGGGATCAGGATTTGGGATTTGGAATGGGATCAGGATCAGGATTCGGGATTTGGGATCAGGATCAGGATTTGGGATCAGGATTCGGGGTTTGGGATGAGGATTTGGGGTTTGGGATGAGGGTTTGTGGTTTGGGATCAGGATTTGGGATCAGGATCAGGATCAGGATTTGGGATTTGGGATCAGGATCAGGATTTGGGATGAGGGTTTGTGGTTTGGGGTGAGGATACATCCACTCGAAGAGCATCATGAAGCTGGTCTTGGCGTTGAAGGCGAAGGCGATGCCCCGCAGGTCCCGCACCAGCCCCACCAGCGTGCGCTGCGGCCACGGAATAACACAAATAACAGAAATAAAATAAAATAAAGTAAAATAAAATAAAATAAAATAAAATAAAATAAAATACAATAATATAAAAATAAAATAAAATGAAATAGAAAAAATAACATAACATAAAATAAAATAAAAATATAATAACAGAAAATAAAAATAAAATAAAATAAAATAAAATAAAATAAAATAAAATAAAATAACATAAAAATAAAATGAAATGAAATAAAATAAAATAAAATAAAAATATAATAACATAAAATAAAAATAAAATAAAATAACATAAAATAACATAAAATAACATAAAAATAAAATAAAATGAAATAGAATAAAATAACATAAAATAAAATAAAGTAAAATAAAATAAAATAACATAAAAATAAAATAAAATAAAATGAAATGAAATAAAATAAAATAAAAATAAAATAAATAGAAAAAACAGAATAAAAATAGAAAAAAGAATGGAATAAAATAGAACAATACAAAAGAGTAAAATTCAGGCACCCCAATTCCCATTGAACTGATCCCAAGGGATTCAGGCACCCCAAATTCCCATCAAACTGACCCCAATTCCCTCTGGATCAATCCCAAGGGATTCAGGAACCCAAATTCCCATTAAACTGATCCCAAATACCTCTGGATCAATCCCAAGGGATTCAGGAACCCCCAATTCCCATTAAAGTGATCCCAAGGGATTCAGGAATCCCCAATTCCCACTAAACTGATCCCAAAGGATTCAGGCACCCCCATTTCCCATCAAACTGATCCCAATTCCCACTAAACTGATCCCAAAGGATCCAGGAACCCCAATTCCCATTAAACTGATCCCAATTCCCATTAAAGTGATCCCAAATGATCCAGGAACCCCCAAATCCCAGGGAAAGCTCCCAGGACAAGCGGGCAATGGGGATTGGGCCTGGCTGACCTTGGCCTCCTGCTCGTTGAAGGAGTTGGTGCTGAACATCTGAGCCACGGCCTCGAAGGCAGCGGTGAGGGGCAGCATGAACTGCTCGTACTGATCCTCATCTTCCCCTGGAAAACAGGGAAAACATGGAAAAATCATGGAAAAATCACTCATGGACTGCTCGTACTGATCCTCGTCTTCTCCTGGAAAATGGGAAAAACATGGAAAAATCATGGAAAAATCCATGGGAAAATCGCCCATGAACTGCTCGTACTGATCCTCGTCTTCCCCTGGAAA